CTGCTGTCTTTCAGGTTTGATGTTGTTGGGTCTGGATCATGCTTGAAGCGTTACTCTGATCCATCTTTGTTGAAGACGCATACTGGACTAGCAGTAGTAGCAACATCAAAACTCAGCAAAGATGAGAGACCACGTAAACCAAAGGTATTCATTCATGTAGTACATTTCCTTACTCTTTTTTTTTTTTTTTATATTGCTCCTTACTCTTGTTTTATTTTACCTCACTCTGTCACTGATTGTCTAAACAAGCATCTGGATTGCAAACTTTGGGTATTACGTGTTACATATGATCAAGTATTTTTCATCTGCAGAAGAAAGTATCACACACAATTAGTGGAGAGACACCAGGGGATTCAAGAACATCACATGCCAAGTGAGCACTCATGCTATAGATTTTGTTCGGTCCCTGTCATTCAGTTCATATGATTGACACTTTGATTTTGTGACACAGGTTGCATCAGCTATTCTTATTGGAGCATGTTGAGAACGGACATAGAAATCCTGAATTCCATGTGAAATTGAAGAGAAGACAGCTGAACGGACCTCCAAGTAACTCAAGCTATGGGACAGGTTACATGGAGAAATTCCTCAAGAACTCTTCGCCATACTGCGAAAGAGTTCATGGGACTCTGGATCAGTCATCTCCGGCAATGGAAACTGAAGTTACAGTATGCAGCGTACAAGAAGACTTACCAATACCTTCCCTGGTTTATTCAAACTGTGAAGACACTAGAAAATACAATAAGATGGAGGTTCCTCAGGAGATTACGGTAAATGAGAGGTCTTTACCCAATATAGAAGGAGGACCAGCGATTTGTTTAGAAAGAAGCTCTTCTGTGAATGTTTCTTGCAATGCTAACAATGATACAACAGACTCAGAAGCAAAGAAAGCAGACATTGATGACAAGGCTTGCTGTAACCTTGAATTTCCGGGATTTGGACAGACACAGATGATCTGTACTAATGCAGTCGTGACTGAAACAGAGGTTGTGGCTCAGAATTCTAATGTTTTGCACCACTCAACGGAGGAAGGAGAATCTAGTCCTTTAAGATCTTCTCCTGGAAGTAAACTACATAAAGCTGAAGGGTCTGCTGCAAAAATAGACATGCCATTTTCTCAGATGACACCAGAGATAGATTCTGCAGGCATGGAGACTCTAGAGGTCGAACAAACACCTTTCAGTTTGTCTTGTAACGAGAATCCTCTAAATCTTTCCAAAGATTCTGGAAGTAGCTTAGAGCTTAAGTACAATAAAGAAAATGCTGATGAAATTGGGTTGAAATCATCAGAAGCTTGTGAAGTCTTTGAAGTCAGAAGAGATCCTATGGTTAACATTTCCCCTGAAGCTCAACCAGAGAATCTGTCAAAGCTTACACAAGTGCCACTGGACGCATCTGAAAACGGGACCAGAGTTCTTCTTACAAATTACGTTGAAGATCATCATTCTCAACATGTTTTCAATGTGGAGACAGACTCTGAGATATCTTTAAGTGGTTTAGTTGAAGACCAGTTTTCATCCATTGAGGCTCTGGAACCCGAGAACATTTCTTCTGAAGCTGATCTTTCCATTCCTGATAGCAAAAGCAGTTTACAGGAAATACCAGCGGCGTTGGAGTCCGATTGTCTTCTTCCAAACCAAGATATTAGCACATTTGACAACTTTGAAGATTTGTCTCTAGCTGCTGTCTCAAAAGAAGACGAAACCAACTCACAAGACGGATCTTCCATGAATATTGAACAATCTGGACACATTTCAACATTTGAAATCAGTTCAGAGAATGGATCTCTGATGTCAGATACTCCAAGAGATCTTCACAGAGGAAACGAGAACCTCTCGGTCTCATCTTGGCAGGAAGAAGCATTGGCCAACCCTGACTTGGCTGAGACACCATCATATCCGGGACAGGAGGATCCAGAACCCATGTCTATTGTTGCAGATGATAATGGTGTGCCAGAGGTACCAATGCTTGATACTCAAAGACATGGTACTTGTTTTACAGGTGATGTCGATCACGAGAACCAGATTGGCCTGAATAATAAGGACAGTGAGACCGTCCACGAAATAGACTTGGAAAATATTAATGATCCCCAAGAGAGTCTTTTAGGTACTCAAGAATGCCTGTCACCGGAGTATTGCATGCCGACACAGGACCAAGAGCAAGAGAGTTTATCCGAAACCGGGTCAGCAAATCCAATAACAGCATCACCTGAGCCTCTTCCTTGCCTAGTCTCTACACAAGATGTACTTGTTGGTGTTCAGGGTTCACCTTCAGAGGAAACATTAACATGCGACGAAAAGCTTTTCCCTACAAGCGTAACTGAAATAGAAGCTCTACATGCACCACTCCAGGAAATTTTCACACCATTGAATGGTAATATCTCTGAGTCTGCTCTTTCCATGGATCTGACTGATCAAGAAAATCGCTTGGAAGTGTCCCCTGAATCTATGGTTGCCTTCTCCACGTCACTCCATGAAACACCTCACGAAGCTCCAGAGATAACACCTCCGCTTCCGCCTCTTCCTCCGACACAATGGTGGATGGGAAAGCTGGTTGAAACCGAAACCCAGTTCTCTCCAGTGGCATCACTTGGAGACAGTGGAAACAACAGTTTCTACACTCATAGGGATGAAAACACACAGAATGGATCAGTTCAAGTGACCGATACACAATATCCATCGGAAGCGTCAGTGGAAGCCGTGTCGACTGCTGCACAGATTTCTCTGAGTGAACCATCTGAAGCAACCGAGGAACAGTCTTTTCCAGCAGTAAATGGAACGAGCGACAGCTATATGCATAAAGATGAAAGTACACTGAAGAAGGAATCATTTGCTTCTGTATCACTGCTCACAGCTGAAGCTACACTAGAGGCAGAATCAGCAGACTGGAGGACTGAAGCAATGGCGCTTGAGTGGTTTAGTCAGAACTTAAGAGAGCATACCAATCCTAACCCGGCAAGGTTAGAAGAGGAACCTCAGCTTGATGAGAATGAGAAAGCTGGAAAGCTTCCAAGAGACAAGGACTCGCTTGTTATTGGCATTGATAGAAGCATGGTGATTACGTTATTGAATATTAGTCACTACTATTCTAGATCTCTATATGGTTAGTTTAATGGCGTGTTGACTTTAATTTTGTTTGATGACAGTTGAGGAAGGTACCTGAACGGAACAAGACACAAGTTGGAGCACGAGTGGACGAGAATGATTCACTACTCGAGATCATAAGGAGCAAGGTTACTAACTCATCTTTTGCTTTTGATAATTACTTTAGATTTTATAAACCATTATTAACTAATCTAATGAAACACATAAAGCAGTCGTTCAACCTGAGACCAGCAGATGCGTCGGTGAGACCCAATTTTCAAGTAGCTGTTCCCAAAACCAACTTGAAGGTCGCTGCAATCCTAGAGAAAGCCAATACTCTTCGCCAGG